ATAGCTTATTCGACTTTTGGGGTGGTTTTACAATCAGGAAGGTAATATTAGCCTCAAAGCGCTATACCAGTATTAAGTACCATTTAGTGGATAATTAAATTTTGGGTAATTTCACGAATATCACTTCTTGTGAATATATATAGCAGGTAAGTTGCCAAATTCAATTGATTTCGAAGACTGTTCTTTTCCTATTGCAAAAGAATACAACAAATGTCCCATAGATATCCAATTCAGGTTTGAATATCTTTGAACATCAATAGATATTTTAAAAATATCTCAACAGTTCTTTTGGGATGGATATCTTTCGATGGATTTCGTATCCTTTATTCCAAATTCCTTTCTGTGGTTCACTACTTTCCAGTTCCACTTCTTTATGATCCGATTTTCCAACAATGGAGAACGCTTCTTATTATCATGTATATCTATCTCAACAAAAGTTTCATATTCAAGTACCACTTCATTATGAGATTTTGACTCCTGTTCTTCATGGTGACTTTTATCCCAAATGAATTGCAATTGAGTATTTAAAGAAGAAGTGTAAAAATTACCTCTTTACACAATGTATCTGTTTAAAAAATATATGAACTAATAGTCCCACAGTCCAGTTTTTGCTGTAGATATTAGATTGAAAACACACCACTGGTGAAACTGCCAATTAAATATTACAAGAAATAGTTAGGAACAAACTATTCACAAGAGTTTCAATAAGGTCATGACTAATGACAACTGTTTCTGGTAGACCATGTATGACTACTAGAAGGTAAACAGATCTTTCGGTTTCTATGATTTTCACAATTGAGCTGTGGCGATACTGCTTCATATGTCCATGCAGAACGAGTTATTACTAGGTTTGAGACTGATTAGTGTATTTTATCTTTCACTGTAGAAGCAGGGAAATATATAAAAAATCAAACATGGCCTCTTATTTTATTATATAATCGTTTATTGATAATATTTCAGAGCAATAGCGACAAGTCCATTACAATTTACAATAACTGGATGTCAGTTTTAATATTATTGTAACTATTCATATAGTTAGTATAACACTGAAAATATTATGAAAAAATTAAAAAACCTACAAAAAACTTAGTCTTAAAATTCCATTGAAATGGAAACTAAAAAGATAAAAATATTGAAATATTTAGGTAACTATACTAACGAATGAAGGAAATGTATAACTTAAAATAAATTCAATAAATAAGATGAGCTTATGGTTGATTTTATCTCACGTTTCTCACCAATTTAACTTCAGTTGAAACCCGTTATATATTTCACTTCATAGAAGTAATTAGATATATTGATGTAGGGTGTTTTAATAAAATTGAAAGAATCATCGTCTCTAAGCTAGACCTCACATTTTCCTCAGAAGAAAACACTCTGCACGAATATATACCAGTATTATTTAAATTCGTTACAAGAATACTTATATCTACATTTAGGAAATCAATGAAAAACAATAACTCAAAGGCATGTACTTGAATGTAGAGGATTTATATACCAACGCAAATTATAGAAATGAAATTATTGCAATATTAAGGATATGTATAACACTCGATTCGATGAAAAGTAAATAACTGTCGAAATATAAAATAATGAAAACTCTCGAAAATGTTATAGTAATATTATCCAAGAAAAAGTTCAAGCATAGCTAGGAAACTTCCTATTGTAATTTCTACAATATATTGCATAAATTACAATGATGTTATAAATAACTATACATAGGTATTTACACGAATACATTATTGCTAAAAATTATTCAAAAAAAAAACATATACATACTTGATTTTGGGAGGGTTTTTCATGTAACTAACACCATCAATTGAAAATAATTTGCACTAATTAATTTGAATATCCTCTACAGTTTGAATGAAATATAGAATGAAGAATATGACTTTTGTCTAATTTCTACTAAGTTTATTATTTGTTACGAGACCGTTTCTGTTTCTACAAAATGAACAAGTCATCAATCGAACAACCTTTCAGTTCAGTAATATCAATGTTTTCATCATGAAAAGTCGGTTGAGAATAACCATACATATCTTCAGTCAGTTTACTGGAAATAATCATCCTCCTGGAATTTCAAAAAGTATAAAAACACTACCATTTTTCCTACTTAAAGTTTTTGAGATTCATTTCTGGAGGAAGTAATCTACAAAAATGTTAATGACTCAGTGGCACAAATCTCAATCAAACTGTTGAGAATAAACTACTATTTCATGTATAATGAAAAATAACATCATACTTTTTGCTTTGAGGAAATAGAGGGTGATCTGAAAAAAAAAGAACATGCAATGAAAATTTATTTCAGATGAAAAAAAAATTATATTGACTGACCTTTCTATAATATTTGATCGACCCTCTAATCTCCTAACTTGTCCATTGAAAAACAAATTATATATCTTCTGTAGTGATTGTCCTTAAACATTAAGCAGATATCGAACAAGCATTTTTCGTAAGACAAATGCAATATTTTAAAGCAGATACATTTATTTCTGCCTTAGAAATATAACACGGAAACAAAATAAAGATTAAAGTATTATTTTTTGAAAAAGTTATTTACATTGGTATATATATAATATATATTTTCTCAAGGGACCAACACATGCAAGCGAAAAAGTATTGCTTCAAATGTGTACTAAATTTAACAATATGTTCACGTTTCAAACCTTTAAACCTTTAGAGTCCAATCACTTTGGTCCAGAATCAGTTTATGAAGCTGATTGATTTGCAATCATATTTTCCAAGATGAAATTATTAAAATATGATTTTTTTTGTTTAATTACAGTACACGCATATCACAGACCTACAATATTTATAATCAACAGGCAATCTGTACAAAATGTTGGAAAACCAGATGAAAGTGGTTTGATCCATATAAAAATTGGTTGTATCAAAGCTGGTATTCGGTTAGTCTTATAGAGAAAAATAAATATAATTTAACACAAAAGTAATATTTTGTATGACCGAGAAACAATTCTTCAAGTATAACTGATAAATGGCAAAAAAAATTTAAAAATAGTTCATAAAACATGATTTCTTCTAATTATGAAAAGGTCAGATCAACATGGATGGTTGAAAACCTATGGCAAACCACTTCTAAAGTTGATGGCTAAAAATTCATGGATTTTCCCACATTTTTTACACTAGTACTTTGATTAGCTGCAGAAATTATCCAATGATCATATTTTCATTTTCAACATTAACGAAATTTCTACATATTACATCAAAATAAAAAGAAAAGAAGTCGTGAAATAATATTGATAACTATAAGTATTCCATTCACAATTGAATGCCAAAGAGATGTAAGCACAAATTCAAGCACTATTATGGGTCCATCACAAAAACAGGGCACTTTTGCTGATTAATTAGTATTAAGTTTTAACCAGCCTACTTTGTCTCTCACATAAAATTATTTACATAAATAAAACGAGAGTCCAATAGAGGGGAATTCCTAAAAAAGTTAGTGCAAGAGGTCCACGCTCAATCAGCTATCACACTAGAGGTCTGTATATTTCATTTGGATGGCTATTTTGGTTACTGGAGTTTTGTCTAGAGGAACATTGCTGTAAAAAATATAAATCGTTTTAATTGAAGTTGCAGGAATTGGTTACAAAATCTAATGGTTGACGGGATTGAAATATTGCAATTCAAACTAAATCTGTTCAACAAGTAATGTGCACTATTTGAAGTATGTTGCATCATCAAGAGCTATAGTGTAAAGGGTTCCTAGTAGATGCATTGCTTATAAATTTGTATTTTAGTTATGATTTGGTTTCAGCAGGGCTGATAAGACAATAAATACTTCGATAATAACAAATTGGCATTGAAGTATAACTTTGATTTGAAAAAATCTGCACTCAAAGTTACAGGAGCACCAATATGGGAAGCTACTAACACCGCGCAGATTACAGTAAAGTAGAGATGAGTGTAATGTTTATTTGAAATTAGAGTTTCAAAATCTGCAAACTCTCTAAAAGTAACAAAAGGAGCAGTTTTTAAATAAGGTTATGCTGTTAATTTTAAAGGTATGCATACATTTATAGAAATCTGCAATTCATTTCATTCACTTTATTACTGCCCATGTGCACTTTGATCGCTGGTGTTCTAGAGGGCTACCTAGTTTGCCTATATTGTCGTGCAGCCCTGCTTTAGTACCAGAAAAATTCTCAATGTTTTTCATCAAAATTATCATAACAATGACCTTATTTATATTATGAAACAATCAAATCACACAAATGACAATCTCAAACTGACGACTGGTATGAGACTATGAGACAAGAACATTATTTTCAAACATTCAACGTCTTTTGTAGTTTTTTCATAGAAGGTGTTCAAAATTCAAATTTTCTGTTTGTCAGTAAAATTGTTTCAAGATATATTGAAATTCTTTCATGCTTTAATTATTTTGAAACCAAATGCCCAATTAGGATATAATTTCATGTAGAAATTTTAATATATAATATTTAATTATTTGCTATNAGTAACATTTATTACTCTTACACTAATACTGTCAACAAATATAATAAGGAAACTATAGTTTATGCTATACAGAAATGTAATAATGGGACCCTAATTTGAAATAAAATATTTATGTCACCAAAGAAAATTCATTTATTATAATTGAAAAAAAATCAATTCTAATCAATAAGATGTTTATCCTAACTAGACTGTATCTATTTGCTGCAAATATTGTGCTGTAAAAGAAATATTCACCTGCGCTTTATTTCAATATACTTCTCATTTGAGAAAACTAAATAGATATTGTCTGCAACAAATTTGTTTCTTCATGATTTCATATTGAATAAATACATCAACAATACATCAACAAAGATAATATTTCTTTTAAGTGAATTTTCTTTTTCTTAGACCATTTTTCAGTATATAGGTATTTGATAATATCGTTATAGAAAAAGTTGAGAGTTCAACATCCGTCACTCAATAGTTACAAAATGAATTGAATAAATTCAATAGCATCATCCTAATTTATTCTTGTTTCATTTGATGTTTAATATAAACTTACCCTGGAGAATATGGTTTGCAAACATTCATGTCTTTATCCCATCCACAATAAGGATCATGAACACATCTGAGACAATTGTCATATCTTCTGTTGCACATCACCAGATCGACTTGTTTGACCCTATGATCAGAGGCAACGTATAAAGCTTTGTGTTCCTTGGAAATTTCCATTACTTGTATAGGTTCCCCAGGGGTAACATCGAATACATCTAAGAGAATTGAAGCAGATCCTTCGTCTTTTGCCCATTCGACTATTTTGTGCACTTGTCCATCATCTGGAAAGAAATTCGTCAATATTATAAAAAAATGTAGTTTTAATAAAAGTATAACTTATAGTAAATTGTCTTGCATAAAATGTTCACATTGTCTTTAATTGTGAGAAGTTGAAAATCTATTTCTAATTTACAAACCATCAGAAAAATGAATTTTTATCTATATTGATATTGTAAGAAATATCCCTGGAAAAATTTTAAAAATCTTACAGTAATAATATAAAGGTAATTCAACCAAAATAGTTTCTGTAGAAAGCTCTCCTGATTATAATAGAAATCGGTTCCAACTTCATTATTTCATGTAAAAAAATGAAGTTTGAAGGAACTTTTCAATTTGAATAATACTTTATTATTTTTTAATGTTTTCCAATTTTCGTTAGGACACGTTTAGGTAAAGATATAGGCGAATTGAAGAAATGGTAGCCGAAAATTATTAATTTTTTATTCAGAATGTTCACAAACATGTTTGAAAAAAGATATTGAAAAATTAGAAATTAAGTTTTTATAGAACACATCTAGGCTATAGATAAGCTGTAAACACATTATTTTCAGATCAATATTCAGTAATATCATATTGATGAATATTTCAGTAGGGGTACCTATATTGCCAACATTTGAAAAAAAATTAATGATATGCTTACAGTGGAAAATGTTACGAACAATTGAGAATGTCTCATTTTTTTCTTGAAATTGTAGCTCTGATTCATTATTTTCTTTTCAATATAATGCAAATTATATTCTCAACAATGGAAATATGGTATTTTATTGTTATAGGATCAATAAATTGATGGATGTAGCTTTTACTACATAGTAGGAGATCATCATGAAAGATGATGATAAATAAAACTTCTGTTTTTATATCACTTTTATTTGTAACTAACGTTAATGCAGTTTCGTCCTATAAGGACATTTTCAAACTAATACAATCATTGTATTAGTTTCAAAATGTAGAACGTTAGTTACAAATAAAAGTGGTAAAAAATAGATAATTTCATCTCATTTTTCATTATAGGATTAAGTACTTTCTGAAAGTAATAAAATGTACATAATAATAGTTCCTGAACTGACAAGTGGAGAAATAATGAAAACTTCAACTTCAAATACTGTGATACAACTACTTCGAAACCATTTCCTATTCTGACTGATTTCTCCAAAATATAGTCTTTTCAAACTTCTAGAATTGTTCTACTTCTGGAACGTCAATGTAAGTGAATGTATTTACAATTTCAGTTCATAAATAAGCATCCAATTTCTGGGAATTTCTGAGATGTTCTAGTTGGAATCTTGGTCTACCCCCTTATATACATTTATAAATAACATAAAAACCTCCAATATACAGAGGATGTTCAGACAGAATTGTGTCAACTGAAGGCAATTACATTAATTTCACCAAAAGAAAAAACACAACAATTGTACACTATTAGAGAAAAAAAATTTCAAGGTATACCTACAATGGAGGCAAAATACACAGTAGTGAGAAATCGAAAATAACTTTTCACTACATTCAATATTTCTTTGAATGCCTATTACTTAATATTTCTTAAGAACTTCTATTTGGAATATAGGTATTTACTAAAGAGTTTAGCAGTACCTACATACATTTTGAATATCACTTCAAAATATCTCAAATGCATGCATTAATCGAATGAAAAATAATGGTCATTAACAAAACAAAAACTTTCAATAAAAAAAGCTCCAATATACAACAACAAAATTTATTTCACCAAGATAAAAATCAACAATAATTGACTAAGGAAAAAAGCTGTCAGGTAATATCTAATGAAAGGATTGCCTCAACAGGAAGTATTAATGTATCAATAATAACTGTGATGAAAAAGTGCTGATATGTTTTATTTCTACACATCACTATTGATTCTTGAAGTAAATAAATACTTACTTGTGCCGGCGTAATATACGGTGTAATCCAAAATTGCACCGCCAATATCTACTTTAATTTTGTCAACGACTAGTCTCGTGAAGAAAATATCCCTCTTGAAAAATACGGGTTTCTCATTTTCGTGCATAACAGCAGAATCCATGAGAGGATGACTTCTGATAAAGTTTAAAACGGTGTCGGGTAATGTTTCTGTATCGTTAACGCAGGTTCCTGGACGTGGTTCTGGAACCCGACTAGATAAAACTGGTAGCCAAGCTGATGACGAAGATGCCTGTTCCTTGAATTTTCCACTGAATGCTGCTTGGATGTCGGAGAGTGTGAATGAACAAATAGCTGAGCCCATCAGACCATTCGTAGAGGTTGTGAAAGTTCCGTAGAATTTATTATTATCTCCAGGAACTTTGTAGATACTCTCTGAAATGATAATGATGAAATTTGATTGAAATAATTTCAGTATACATTGTCGATTATAAGTATTGAATTCGGTATTATTAATACATATTCTCCATGTCTCTTTAAGTTGGAACTATTAGAAAAACTGTTTTATTATTGATTTTCGAAAAAAACTTATTCTTAATGGAATATAAAATTCAATTTTTATTCATTTCTCGAATCTTATCTTTATTATATTTATGGAAGCTCAAGTATTGTACATGTAATCTAGGATGCACTGACAAAAATTTTTCACAATGAACGTCAAAATGTTTTTTATCTATAACATAAATAAAACCAAACATGAAAAGATGTAGTTATTAACTTGTGGGAATATTTTCAATAACAGGCATTTCAATAGAAATAATAATCATTGACCGTTACACAAATACTAAATGAATTCAAGACTAAGGGTCTAAGAAAAATTACCAATCTGTTTATAAAAACAGATTGATTGCACAGTATTTTTTACACCAATATATAAAAACTGAACGGTATTTATAATTTTCATAGTTTGGTTTTGTCATGTTACAGTAGACTGAATGTTATTTTTAATGGATAAGTGATTCGCAGATACTCAGATCTTATTTGGTCTGCTAGATCCTCTGACTTAGCCCCTTCGGATTATTTATTTTAAGGGTACTTCAAACACAATATTCACCAGCAAACGCCGTTTCAAGATGTGAATCATTTGGAGTTTGCCAAAATGCGATTATATGCATTGATTGAGAGGAAGGGTAAATCTAGGCAATGATGGAATAGTGAAAATAAAATTTGTATTTATTTCTATGCAATTAATTATCAATTTATGTAGGTGACACACCTAAAATTAATATCTACTTATATATTCGACACCTATTGAAATGTCAAAATAATTAGAAATATTACATACTACATACTACTACAGACATATTACAAACTGAATACAGAAAAGTGTTTTTTGTATAAGTCAGTGTATATATAAAACTATTTGTTTCGAAAGTATTTTTTCCGTGTTATTCAATGTTTATATGAAAGTAGTTACTTGTTTGTATGATCTTAATATTTTTGTATAGAGTTATCTTTTCTGAACTGATTGCTTCTTTTCTTTGGAAGACTCACAAAATGTGTTTGCATACAGAGAAAGTAGCAAGCAAAAACTTTTCTTTTCCAAAAATGAATCTCTCCTAAAAATATACCCCCTCCAGTCCTATGGCTGGGATTTGATCAATAAGCGAATGAATGTCATTAAGTACTGTCAGTGATGACATGAGTATATTACACAAATTCGTGACATCAAGTCGTAATTTTATGAATGAAATGAGTACTTTTTCTCATGATCTTATCTAGATTTGGTTCTGGAGAGCTGATAGGGCAAGTGTCTTACGACGAAACATCGGATGTCCACCAGTGTGGATGACAGTGTTCCATGTTTTTACCTATGAGAGAGAGAGATGAGGAAGTAGAAAGCCAAAACCTTTCTTTCCTATACTTGAAACTGTTTGGTATGTTAGTTACTATTAAGTGGAAAAAATAAATAAAAACATATTCAAAACAAATTTGTCATAACTGCCGAACTGTTTGCCGATATGATAGTTAGAAACTGAAAATTGGTATACACGAATGTATGAAATCATATGTCTGATCCAAATTTTTAAATTAATTCTATAATTCCAACACATCACCCTATACATTATTATTTTACCCAACAGTAATTTTCCAAATCTCCTAATGATTTGAAGGTTGACAAACTCCAAAGATTGCTTTGTTCAATTCTCTAGCGATTTTAATCATGTTTTTAATTGATGCTTCCATTCTTTTCGAATAATAGTTATGCTATGAGCGAATCATCAAGAATACAATGTCGAATGTAGGAGGAAGAAACGTTATTCAGGAAACAACAAAAAAATCGACAATGTAAATGCCAATCGCACGAACAATGCAAAATACTTACGGATTTCATTGAAATAAAAAGGAAATTCTCCGGGAATGGAACAGTTGAGTCTAGCTTTGAGATAAGTGGCCCAGTTTTGCGAAAGAATATTCTTTCCTCCTGTGTCCTTTTTGCAGACTCTCGCCACTCTGGAATAAACGCTTTTACCGCAGTTGATGTATTCCACAGCGGTTTCTCTGAAGAAGAATAAAACGTAATCGCCGATATCAAATGAACCCACGAAGTTTGGCTCTGAAAACAAAGAGATAAATTATCGAAATGTCATTTCGGAGAGACATTTTGAAATAGTGGATTGGATAAATGAAATAATTAAAAAAAATATTTCGAAAAAAAATACCTATATATTTTTACTGGATTTAGGATATTCTAAAAGTTCTGTGAAGAATTATACATTTGTGCAAACGTTATATCTAAAATAAATCTTCAAAATCATAACCCTGGAATTGAATTCATTGGGTATTTGACAAAAATAACGATTTTCTACAGGAGAACTACAATATCAACGTATCAAGTGAATATCGGAAAAAGTATTAGCACCATTTATGTTGAAAAAAGTAGAGGTGCTATTACCCACTACTAATCGATCATAATCACAAATTTTTCATGTAAAACAAATGATTATGAACGCAATAATTAACTACCACTTGAATACTCTGGTAGTTTATATTTTACAGAATATGATTGATATCTTACTGCAATACATTAGACATAACGGAAGGTAGTAAACGGTTGATTCATAACAAGTGATTTACGTAAATATGTCTGATGCATTCTGTAGTAACTATAAACTCAATATAAATTTTATTCATGACAAAGGAAGACGTTAGTAAATAATTGGAGGTGGTTTAACTTCAAAATTTCAGCTAAAATCAATACCAAATTTTGAACCATGTGATACTCAAATGTTTTAAATGTAATCTTTTGCTAAAAATTACAGTGATGTATGGAACACCAGAAGTTCTGAAATGAGGAAAGATAAATCATAAGAGAGACTATTTGAAGTATTACTTAACATAAAAAAAGCTCCATCCCTTTGTTGCCTTGAAGGATATATCATTCAATTGACCAACAACAATGTTCGATTTTCAAGATAAATTAAACATCAAAAAATAATTTCTAAGGAAAAATATGTCGCTCTCTATACTAAGATGCCTTACGTTCAATTCAATGAAAAACTTGTTTAGTTTCAATGATTCTTTATAAAACCCCTTTATTAAAAATTATTATGAGGCTGTTATAGAGAAAAAGTAACAATAGCCGATTATTATTAAAGTGCAGATTTCGGTCCGTAACATTCTTCACATAGGACAGGAAAGCTCTTTCATTGACAGTTCTATTGGGACTTACGACGTCATTAACTTTTCTGTGTCAAATTTCCCACTCAGTCGGCTTCGTTTTACCCTGTTTCTCTCAGTTGAGAAGGCTAGATGCATCTGTGAACCTGATAGTCTCCCCGAGGAACTCAATCACCTGAAAATTGCCTTCAAAGAAAATAGATATAGCGAAGCCGAATTGAAGTGGGTAATACGATCTAGAAAAGAGGATGTCGAGGTAACTCCAGATATTCATGCCAACGAAAATTATCAGAAAGAGTCTTAAGCCAGCTACGGACCCCAAAAGGCTTTCACAACACCGCGAATATACAGGACACCTAGAAGCTGTGGATTTACATTAGATAGATAGATAAATTTCTTTATTTCCTTCATTATGACGAGCATTTACATTTCGTATAGGAATTGTCAAAGCACATACACATATTCAACATAAAACAAGTAAATGAATAAATACGAGGTGAAACAAATACAAATATTCAGATAAAATATGAGTAATCATATGAGGCAAAAAGATTAAAATATTCATTCAGTGTATAAAAACAATGGTCGAACAAAAACGACTTCATTCTTTTTCTGAATTTCGTTGGGTTTTTGGTGGTTTTTATTATATTTGGTAATTGATTGAAAATTTTAGGTCCCATTGATTTAGGAGAATTTTGAGTAAGCATAACTCAAAAATATATATACACAATAGAGTTAAAAGTTTTTGTCTTTTAAAAATTATGTTGCAGGAATCTCTCTGAGAAATATTAAATATACATCGAAGTATTGCTTTTTGTGCAATAAAAACATTCTTGCTCATTGTTGAGTTACCCCACAAGCAAACACCGTAACGCAACCTGGATTCGACCTGAGCATAATAAACCTTCATTAGTTGGTCTTTATTAAGAACAATCCTCAAATTTCTGAACATATAAGTTACTGAGCTTAACTTGGATACTAGCTGATCACAATAGTCATTCCAATTTAAATTTTCATCGATATGTATACCTAGAAATTTTGCAGTGTGAGTACTTTGCAGGTTTGTGTTATTGATATTCAGATCAAGTGTTTCGACTTTGTTTTGGTAATTATGAAAACGAATTACTTGAGTTTTTTTGATATTTAAAACAAGATCTTGATTTTTGAGATATTTGGAAGTCAGAGTTATAACATTTTCATATTTATTAATTAGGACATCTGATCGTTTATCAGATATAAGTAACGATATATCATCTGCATAGGCATAAAATAGGGGGTATGAAATTTCTCTATCTATATTGTTTATATACAGTATGAAGAGAATTGGTCCCAGGATGGATCCCTGTGGCACTCCAGCCTGATTCGTTTTCATTTCGGATGTGGAAGAACAGATAGTATCTCCATAATCAAATTTATGAGACACGCATTGATTTCGATTAGTGAGAAACGAAGAAGCCCAATTGAAAGAATTTCCCCTCAGACCGAAAGATTCCAGAATATTCAATAATTTTACATGATTGACGCAATCGAATGCCCTGCTTAAATCACATAAAATTGCAGCAGGGCACTCGCCCGCATCAATAAACTTCACTAGGTCATCATAAAAACTAAGTAAAGCAGTTTGAGTTGATTTTCCTGATCTGAAACCATGTTGCATTGGTATTAAAATTCTATGAAAATTTATGAATTCCATTAAGCGTTCCAAAAACGCGTACTCGAAAACCTAGAAGCTCTGGTAAATAGTGATTGGTCTGAAATTCTCTATGGATGATAGTTTTTTTTTTGAAAAGGAATTACTTTTCCAACTTTCAGAACCGTTGGAAAAGTACCAGTTAGGAAAGAGAGGTTCACTATATATGTAATTGGTTCAATAATGACGTGCAATATTTTTTTTTTTAAATAAAAAGAGGTATTTCATCTATACCCGATGATTTTTTGTTTTTCATTTTTTTAATAATCAACTACAAGCAATTCCATTTCACTGTATGGTTTCAGAAACATTGTGTGTGGATTAGAGTCAAAGCCGATGTTGCTAGGGCAGTTTGTATTATAATCTTCTACGTTAATACTTTGTACCAAGACTTGAGGCGCTTCAATAAAAAAGTTGTTGAGTTCAGTCACAATAAGAGAAGGATTTTCAATGGTTTGAACTCCTTTTTTGATAACGATATTTTCACATAATTTCTTACCTTTGTTTGAAAGTTCTGATACGACACCCCACAGTGTTCGAGGGTTGTTTCATTAATAAGTTTTATATGAACTTTTTTGTTTTGTTTATACATTTCAGTTAAAAAACAGTTATTTTGCTTTTGACTAAAAAGATGCTTTAATGAGGAACTAGACTTTTTTATTGTTTCATCTATCCAGCCTTTATCTTTACTTTTTAAGTACCTTTTCCGTTTAGGAAAACTAATTTCGAAGTTGTACATGAAAATGTTATGGAATTGACGAAAGGCTTCATCACATTTGTCATATGCATAGATGCAGGACCAATTTTTCCTCTCTAAATGGTCTTTAAAATTTGTAATGTTTTCCTCATTGAAGGATCTTTTCATTTCCGTTTTATTATTTACCCTCAAATGGAGATTTTCGTCGAGTTATAGAAAACACTGTGCGATGATCAGAGATATTATTATCTATAACGTAACACAATTCCCCGTCCGTACAATTCGAAAAAATTTGGTTTATTATGGTGCAGCTGGTGTTTGTGATTCTTGTGAGCCAACCAACCAATGAGCGAAGGTCATAACAAGACATTAGATCACATAATGATTTTAAATTTCTATTCGAGTATAAATCGAGATTGAAATCTCCGCAAAAATAATAAATTATTCCAGGTTTATAAACTGAGTTCATTGCGTCATGAATATTATTAATTAGAATCATGAAGAGAAGTATGAGTACCCGGTTTCCCGAACATAAAAGAAATTTATCGCGATTGAAAGAACCCAAATGTTCATATATCTCAAAGCTACTATCCGAGACAGGAAGAGAGACAATAGAAACTCAGAAACACAGAAATTATTTCAACCAAAAATAAGTGGGAATTAATATACACTCAGACAAAAATATAAAATATTTTATTTCAAGCCTTGATTCATGTTTATTTCTATTTGTCTGAATCTTTATGACGACAAAATGAAAGTTCTTTGATGCAACATAATAACAGTTTAGTACTTAGTGTTTCCTTCCCTAGCTCTAACGATAGCCTGACTCCTGGGCATACTCCGCAAAAGGTTTTTGATGGTTCTTGTGGAATTCGATTCTATTCTTCCTGTGCATTTGAGTTAGGAGCTGGACTTCGTGCTCGTATATGTCTTTTTAGAATGTCCAAAATTTGTTCTACGGGATTTGCGACAGGACTGTTTGGTGGCCACTCCACTGTTTCAAGTCCAACAACTTCAAGAAACTGGGTGACTTTGCAGCATGTGCACGAGCATTATCATGCATTAGCACGAAATTGTCGTAACCAATAAATCCGCCGTAAGGTAAAACATGCTCTTCAAGGATGATGCGTATGTATCGGTCAGCATTCATTCTTAAATTCACTTCAATAAGGCTCGGTGCGACTATCCCATCTAATGCCACCCCACAACATAATGGAACCACCACCAAAGCTAACGTAATGTACAATATTACATTCTGCGAAACGTTCTCCAGATTTTCTGTATACTCGACCACATCCATGTGGTTTCCATAGCTGTATTCTTGTTTTATCTGTGAAAAGAATATTTCCCGCTGATGTCCATTCCAGTTGACATGGGCTATGGCAATTTATAACCGTCTAGATTGGTGACGTGGGAGAAGCCTAGGAACTCTGGCAGGGCTTTTTGGATTCAAACCAACTTCTTTGGGTGTTATTATTCCTTTTATTACACTTATGTTAACTTGTCTTGTGCTCAGTAAATCATTTCGGAGATGTGGAGCTGTAAGCGT